TACTGAATTGCTATTCTATATGTGCTGGCTAACATAATACCGACTCCTGCAGGATCGATTGCCCGTTGAAAAACAAATTATTATCAACCAATAATCATTAACAAGAACCGTCTTGTATAAAAGAGCGCTGTCGGATGAGGGTATCGTGCGCTGCTCCACTGAAGATCTAACTCGATTCGAAGACGAAGCCGTTACATCGAAAAGACGAACAACTGTGGGCCATCGGCCTGCACCATCGGCTCTGAGGAGGACGAAAACGCCGAAATGTTAGGCGAATAAACGTCTTTAATAATAAATAGCTTAATAATCCATGAAGGTGTTTTCCAATGCCCTTAAAATGCACGATAGGAGAGTTTTGTTTACAATGTGTATGGCGCGCTCAAATGACAAACTAGGCCGTAGTTTTGGAGATACTTTTGTTCACATTTCAAGGGTTGGATGACCACACGAGAAGATCTTCAATGGTCTTGGGCGCAAAGATAACTTGTTATGTGGGTTCCGAGAAGTGAAGCCGTGCAATTTGTGGCTCACTACTGAAAAGAAGTTGTCTACATGATTTCTAGTCCTGGAACCTTGCATCTGTCCCTGCTCTGACAACTCGTACTTCGAAGGAAGGAATCCATACGGCTAATCGACTGCTGAAATTTTGTGTCCTTGGGGGAAAAGATTAAATAAAATAAAGGATAAAGCTCCTGGTGTTGATCTATCGCCAAGGGATGCGCCGTGCATTCTACTTCATTATCGTTGAAGGTGATTGAATGCATATCTGGTCTTTACAATGACTTGCGGTGGCCTACCCATGTATCGAGCCAGTGGTGCTATCCTCCAGGCAAGTCTGGTACCAATTTGCCGACCCAGGAGAGATGGAAGGTTTGGTGAGCCTAAGGCGCGGGGTTCGATCCATGTGTATCGCAGGGCGCCTCTGACCACTGCACTATACGCGCCCTTCCTTTAATTGAAGACCAAAGCTTGTTTTCTTGCAGCTTTTGAGTGCTTCTGTGTGCATCTAATAGCCAGCGTTCAAGTCTTCCTCGATATGTCAATTATCTAGGAAAGGGATTTCGCCGAGAATATCCTTGTCATAAATGATTTGCCTTTTATCTTGACCGATAACACCAGTCCATCTTTCCTTAGATCGAGTTTTCGCATAGAGAAGTCGATGGTCAGATTAAGTATAGAATGGGCTGTATTGAAGTTGGGACACTAATTTTTTGTATCGACCTCATCATTAGTCATCGCCGTGGAAGGGACGTGCTGTAGACAGGAGACAGCAGGACGACTTCAGCTCTCATTTCGCCTCATATTCTAAAGTTCTCGATGTCATATTTACTTTAATTTGCATTTGTAATCTGGCTTTGATATCTCTGATGGAAATTTATAGAAATTTCCGTTGCACAACATTTTTTTGCACTGGTCGCGGAGCATATCTACTTTGATCTCATTACCTTCATTTTTTATAGAAAGAGTTAAACGTGGTCACATAAAGGGTGTCCAATGGAGGTGATGGGTTAGGTAGACGAAATAGGTAACAGTTCAGTGCACTTTAAACTTGCCAACTTTTCATGGCGGAGTTTTTTCTCCACAAATAATTTCCCTTCTACAGAGAACATTCTTTGTGTATATCCCCTATCTTTCATCTTACCATAGGTCTCATGTATTCGGTATGAATTTCTCTTAGTAGTATTTACTCCTGTCATGTGGCCTATCTGAAATCACTTGGCACAAGACGGGCCGTGCACCCGTAGCACAACCTGCTGGGCAAGGTAACACTGCCTGATAGCTCGACCTTGCGACCTCGCGACCTTCCCCGCCCATTTCAAGCATGGGTAACGTCATGTCCTTCGCTTCGATACTGTTCACAGCGTCTAAATCACCCTCTTTCTTTATTTCATAAAGCAGATTTAAGTTATTCAGTTATTTGTCCTCATAAGAAGCATCCGTATAACAATATTTCATTACATGTATATTACATTATTGTATATTATTACAACAATATTTCATTACATGTACTCTTATTGATCGTTGAGTAATTCGAGCCGACCCCAATAGATCTTCCACTGATCTCTTTTGCGTGCAAAAATACTCCAACGAATTTTGATCATTCCAGAGACTAAATCAACTAAAACAAAGCGAAGATGAACGGCTCATGCAGTGGCCGGATGGTCTAGGGGTATGATTCTCGCTTCGGGTGCGAGAGGTCCCGGGTTCGAATCCCGGTTCGGCCCAAGTTTTGTGTGCTGGTTTTTGTGCACCACATCTTTTTTTCTAAGGTTTTTGTAAAGAGCTCTGATCATCTGGTTGGTGGTCTTTCTGCTGTGGACATCCCGGAGAATGTAGTCGCAACGGCTGTTGTTCATCGGTTGTCATTCATACGCATTACGTGTCCGGCCCACCTTATCTTCAACAGTTTGGAATATAGGGCGGCGTCTTTGATTTTTGATCGTTGACGTTAATCGGAGCTTCATATCACCTCTCCCACTCGCGTGGGACTGGATGCTCCCAGCATTATCATTCTACTACGCCTTCTATAAAGCCGAGTGATCTTCATCCTGCTTCCATAGAGACCAGGTTTCTGACGCATACGTTAGGGCTGTGAATTCGAAGAGGTAGGCACCGAATTGGGTGTCCTTTCTTCTTTTCACCGCATCCTCGCTGCTCTTGAAAGCTCCCGAGGCCTTTCGCTTCCTCCTGCTCAACTCTGGAGTAAAGTCGTTCATCGTTTTAATTTTCCGACCTAGAAAGACGTAACTGGACCATTTGGAGGTTTCCAATCCGTTGAGCGTGGATAGGTTATACAAAACCTATCTATTCCTCATGAACATCGTTTCTATGAGATTTAGTTGAAGACCAATCTTTCCACAGGCCCTATCAAAATCAGGAAAAATTCGTTCCGGTTGGCTAATGCATGGTGTTATAACAACGATGTCATCAGCAAAGTCAGCGTAGTGTAATTGCCGGCCATTGATTTTCACTCCAACGTTGTCCGAATTCTAATGTTCGCATTACGATCTCGGGTGTGGCGGTAAATATTTTTGACGAGGTTGTATCGCCTTGCCTAACACCTCTTTTGACTTCGTTGTTGATGTCGTTATATATTAGTAATGTTTTGGGCATGAAATTTTTATATAGCTCACGAAGAATCTTTTTATGACGCCCTTTCATCGACTGCTACTGTCAATTTGATTGAACTGGTTTTCTTCTTCGGAAGTTTCGGTCTGTTTGCTATTTTTAATGTCTCCAGGTTTCCTCACTTTTTTATTTTCCGTTTCCGGTTCCATAGAGCTGTTCTTACGGGCCGATCTATCTGCTAGAAGCACGTTCGGTTTGCGCGCTGCGCGCTAGAAATTTTCTTATTTTCTTGTCGCCGTAGCAGATTTCTGCATTCTAGTCCTTCGTCGGCCGTTACTGACCCGTGAACCTAAACCTTGTTTGACTGTTCCTCGTAAACTGGATAAACTTCCTTTTTCTGGACACTTAGTACTTCTCGATACCTCCTTGTGCTATGGAACTGACAGGAAGTTGGTGCGAAATGCTTATTCCGCTAACGTTTCGACGTCTTCACCTTTTTTGGAGCCGCGTAGATCCGAGTCGATCATTCACAGGTGGTTGTGCTCGCGATGCAAGTGTTCCTTGCCGCACAGAGTCGTTTCCAGCGAAGTAAAGCACCGACCGAATTAAAAATCTCATTCGGAAGTGCCTTTTGTACAAGGACGGATGTTGATCGGTTCCCATCGGCCAATGTGGTCTGCTCTATTCCCTCTAGCTCGCCCGATTCCACTTTGGCGTGTTAGCTCGAGTGTTTCTAGAGGCAGACGTCTCTTGGTGACTTTCGAATTTTCAACTTCCAGAGTAGGGTCTGTCGAATTGTGAGTTACCATGAGTGGTCTTGGTCGTCATGATAAACTCAAGCAGCTATTCACTCTGATCGTTCCATTCTAATCGATGGGTCTCAATGTGACGCTCTTCAGATGTTTTTTTGGATCCAATCTTAGCTTGAAAATATCCAATAATGGTGTTGAAAAATGTGTGTTCCTCTATGTAAAGGTTCTTCACGTCTATATAGAACGCTTTGACTTCTTCATCATAGCCTGATGTGGGTGCTTAAGCGACGTGGATTGTCAAAGCTCGTATTGGTCCATCCACAACTTTTTAATCATAAACGTCCGATTCGGCCTGTTAGTTGTTCGAATGAATCTCATGTTCATGGCTAAACTCGTGTTGACGAGAACGCCGACACCGCCTACTCTATTGCCGCATGTTCCGTGGCACAGTTCTTCTCCGGTGTCATAGACGGTATTGAATGGGTGGCATCTTCTCGTCTCGGCCACTCCGGTAACGTCGTGCCTTATCCTTCTTGCCTGCATGATCAAATCTTCCATCGAGGATTCAGCCGTCACCTTAGTCCTAGGAGATTTGGGGAGCCTGGCGTGGTCGTGAGATTTTAACATCTCCATACTGGTCGTATCCAACGCCGCTGCCGTATTGGGAGCTTTTCGGTGGGAGGAGAATGAGGCTCATTCATTTTACTGTTTGCCGTTTGATACGCGTGCATTGCTTGCTGAGCTGTGAACGTGGGGGTTGGCATACCCATGGGTAGTTTCAATTTGTCGGAGGTGACTCCTAGCCGCCTTCCATATAGCTCCTCATCACTCACTTCATTGCAGGCTTCTAACCGAATTGACTCGTAGAATAAAACCTGCATAAACGAGGACACATCCACGCTCGTATGCACTAATGCGTTTTCGTAAACACAGAAGGTATGTACCAAATCAGCGCAGCAGGAAGGAGTCTATTCCCTGGGTCTACTTGCGTCTTAGGGAAGCAGAAGTCGCTTTTGGTTCGCGATTAACTCCCTATCCACCACCTAGGGACGCGCCACGTTGCCTCGTTACTAGCCGGCCTGAAATCACACTATGAAAGAGGTGCGTGAAGTAACGCTTCGTACCTCGTCAATATATTTCAGAAGTCTGCACGTTATTACTAGTCCAGTTCCTTAGGCATGCTGCTTTTGCCCACTAGACCATTTCATCATAAACTTTGCCATGTATATTTATTAGGCTTCGTTTCGTTATTGTTGTGTCATTACTGTGTGTATGAAGGTTTGATTGCCCATGTTTGGGGCACTGGTGCAAATTCGAAACACCGACGTGACTTAGTCATCAAACTTCAACAAAAGTTCTTTTAACTATCACCTAATTGACATTTATGGGCTTTTCTGCTTTTTATCTTTTATAGGGTCGTTGAAATAGAATTTAATGCGACCTACAGCTCAAGATGAGGCTCGAATTCGGTGTTGAAGACATTTCCATGTTGTTGTAGGTGCAAACCAAAACATGATTGCCCTACTATGTACTTCTTTCCTATATTGTTCTGATACAGTTCCGATTACAACCTGTGTAACCCATGATTCGATCGCCTCATACCGTTCGTCTAGCCGTCTGATGTTATAGATGAGAGAATACCGTGTATGGGACACCGAAACTGATTTTTTGCAGCGGAGTATTTTCCTGTGGACGGCAGCGATTCCTATGAACAGCTGGTATGGTAGTTTGAAGGCAGTGTAATAGGCCGTGTAGCTAAATGTTGTTAGTTTTTCTTCCTTGGCTTGACTTTTAAGGTTGTAATTTCTCATCCTTCTCTTGAAGTCTCTGGACTTCTAATTGTTTCTTCGTAAATGCGTTTACCTTTTTGTTTGCCACACTTTTTTTGATTATTCAGGCGTTGAACGAGCGACTTGCTTCCTCCATTTTTCGATATTAGTGTTTAATGGGAAAGGATGATCAATGTGAACGCTCTTGTGTTTGTTGTAACGTTTTTGAGGTATTGCTTTTTTATTGTAGTTTCATATATATTATTCTATACATAAATCACATGATTCTTTCCAGTTACGGTCTTTACCACTCAGCCAGGAAGAATTTAAGTGAAGTAAAGACATCGATTACACATGATTGGATGGATAACACTACTCATTTTGTTAGTATAACATGCTGATTATCTCATAATCTTAAAGAAACGTAGTCACGGTCTTTGCAAACACCCTTCCATAATCAAGTTATTCTAGCCGTTGTTCGTTTCTCGTGAGGAAGCCAACACATTCTTAGGTTCTCTTGATGCAACTTTTATGATCGCTTATGCCTGTGTAAGTTTATTTTCTTTCCTCTTCTAATGTCTTTCATTACCTTTGTCTTTCTTCTATTTTATCTCGTTTACCTTTCTTAGCATGCCTTATCATATCATCATCATCATCATCATTATCGTTATCACTATACGTCTTCAGGCACTATTCTTTTGGGGTTGGCTTGGTGATCGTTTAAATCCAAAACATGTCGTTGTAACGGGTATGGTTGGATCAGCTGTTATGGTGAGATGTGGTGCCTTAACACGAGCCGCAATATGGGTACAGTATTCCTTTTCTTTTTAGGTACAAAACATATGGTTTCAGCTTATTCTTTTTGGTTGTTTGCCAGTGTGGTGCAATTTTTATAATATTCCGTATTATATGGTTACTTACCTTGTATTTGGATTGGTACAAGCCTGTGGTTGGCCCAATGAAATCACGATTATGGTGAGCTTACCCTATCTTATATGCATTTATATAAATATATTCCTAGGAATTTTTTTGGAGATGCTTCTTCTTATACTTATGCAAACGCTTTGTTCCAGTGAATTGTCCTTCTTATAGTACAGACACTGAACTGTATCACCAGTTATGTCTCATTTTTTTTATTGGCTATAGTCTAGTCTTCTATAGTCTTTGATTTGTCATCTTGGTCTTATTGATGAAATCTGGGAATCAGGCAGACATCTGGCTTTTAATTGCTAATACCATAAATACTGTATTTATAAGTCAGCTTCCATCATTTTTGTGTTTTTTGTGGTTGTCAATGTAAAGATCATTCTTTGTTTATTGGTTGCAGTACCCGATTATAGTATTTACCTTGCTCATCGGATCATGGCAATTTCCTAACACTATTGTAGTCCTTTCCGGGGAGTAACGCGTTCACCACCACACCACGCGGGTCCTTTGTTTCGCCTGTCTCTCAGCTATTTCTATCGATCTTTGCCACAGCAATCACCCGTCTGCGGGATTGATCTGGGGCGCCCAAATCGGCATAGAACCCAGTTAAGCTGCGGCTGTAGTTGAAATCACAATGTTATACCTTTTTATTTTCTGCCTACTATAATTTCGCGGCAGGGTATTAAGCGAAATACAATCACAACGTTGCTGAGATATTACCTGCGGTCCAGAGTTTTGCAAATATCTCAGCAACGTTGTGGTTGTATTTCGCTTAGTACCCTGCCGCGAAATTATAGTAGGCAGAAAATAAAAAGGTATAACTATTGTAGTATTAAGTATATGATACCAGGGCAAACTGGGTGGAACTTCTGGTACGGGTAATATTCTAAGGGCTACTCCTATTGAAGGGCGCGTGTGATGAAGTGGTTGCAGGCGCCACGTGGAATCTATTCCCGCGCCCATGGCGCATCAAGCCTTCCATCCCTCCGAGGTCGGCAAATTGGCACCGTACTTGTCTGCGAGGATAGGAGCACTGGCTCGATACATCGGTAGGACACCGCGAGTCATTGTAAGGGACAGATATACATTCAATCACTTCCAACGATACTTAATGAAGTCGAATGCATGGTGCATTCTTCAAGGATTGATAAACGCCGAGAGCTTCGTTTTTTATTTTTTATCGATTTTTAGTCTATATGAGCTTTTTATTAGCTAGTGGACGCGGGTCTCCATTGATAATGGTGTTGTTCAACATGCGCAATGCACTGATTCGACCGCGCACATATGTGTACATATCTTCTCCATCCTTCACAGTTTCTATAATTTTGTATGTTTTTACATTTTTCTGCACGCATATCTGTTGAAGTTGAGGAATGAAATTATTTTTTGCTATCGTTTCCTTCTACGAAGAATAGAGAAGTTTCTGAGTACCTTCTCGGACTTACAGTTGCTGTATGAGAGTTGGGAGCGGTTCGATGTACTCCTTCAGAATAGACATGAGGATTAAGTGTCATAGCTTTATCCAGGCTACTTTTAAAAATAGTGAACGTCTACTAATATCTACTAGTAAGAAAATGGCTATGCCCATAGTTTTATTGATTGTAATAGTTATTGTTTTGCCTTATCTCATGGCCAGTATTTGGCAAGTTCATAGTGTTTGAAGCGATGTGCTAAGCCATTTAGAAATTGGCCGATTACTGCATTTTCCAGGCTAACTGGTTTGATAAGAGCAATCGTGGGTTTGTAATGGGAATATGGGCATCTTGTCAACCGCTTGGAAACGTTTTTGGATCGTTCTTCACTGCGTGGATTTTGCCGCATGGTTATGAGGTAGTCCATTTAATGTGATTTTTATTTAAGAAAAGAAAAACAGAAAAATGTAAGAAATATAAGGAACACGAACTTGATATCATGTTTTCACCCGTGTTTCCGTAAACACTCTTGCGACCAATGACACCTGTAGGTGTCACAATGGTTCTGCGAGAGTGGCGAGAGGGGCTAGTACGACACCTGCAGGTGTTATTTTCTTTCCGGTAGTTTATTTTGGTGCATAGTTTTTTCTTAGGCTTTTTGTAAATAGTGGATAGATTATCTAGCGTAGAGGAAAAAGTGGGTATCTTCCATGGGAGATCATATTCTTGATAATTTCTAATTTCTCTTTTTCGTCGAGTGATAGTGCTTTTGAAGAGAATGTAGCCAGTGGAGAGGCGTAGAGATGCCTTTGTCTCGAAGACTTGGCAACACATGCGCTGTGCAGCACCATTTTTGATATGCAATTCGTTGTTTTCTAATATTCAACCCCTATAATGACTTTTGGGTATTGTATGGAATGAGAGGATGTGAAAACCAGAAAGTAAACATCATAATATTCCTTGCACAACTTATACAACTTCCAACGGCTTACCACCTCATCGTGGCTGGGGGGTGTTCCTGGGTGTCGGGCTGTGATGTGCACTGAGAGGTTTCGTCTCCTTGATAAGATCTCCCAAGCTGAGAAAGAGTTAAGCGTTTCCATCAGGAAGCCTAGCTAAGAGTAAACCAATACCAGGATCCACCACCGTCCTAGTATCAAACTAGTCGCTTGGTGGCAAATCTCCTTCCGATCCACGAGGGCTGCGACTGGCTGTGGTGGTGACGAGCTGGGATAGACTTTGGCCAGGTTGTCTTCTGGACTCCACTGAACCACAGTGGCTAAACCAGCAAAACTAGGAAAAATGTAGAATATGCTGGCGACCGCACAATCGGTGACGACGGGCCGTCTAAGTGTGCGAGTATCCAAATATATAACTTGATTAAATGCTGAGAGCAGTATAAATGCATTGTGGACGTGTGTTTTTTCTTCATTCACAAGCGTTGTATATCCACCAAAAACAAGCCAAGGTGTGTAAAAGAATGTGGAAGATGTAGAGGATAAAAGAAGCTAAATTTCTTCAAAACGCAGAGAAAACCGATTTATAGGATGAAAATCGCAACAGTAGAGATGGGGCTACATAAAAACTGCCGAGGTGGCTGCAATGAAAATTTAGGCGGCTTCCATTCCGCAAAACGCGAATTTTGACGTTGTCTCCAGAGTACTTGGCATTGCATCACCTAACTCAGAAGGAAACTACTAAAACCCACCCTTGCTTGTCGCGCATAATTCATCCATGGGCCTAAGGACCACAACGACTGTCATCTTTTTCATATTATACTCTTCTTAGCAATTTTAGTGGGAAGATAACCTCGAACATCATACTACATTCTGCCACGCGTTAAGCTTACTCTTAAGCTGAATTAAGTTTCCCGATGAAAATGTCGAACTCATTCGTATCCTAACCTGCCAGATCATGAGCTTTATCAGTTTTCTCTTTAGATCTATACATATTTCAGCACACTTTTTTCTTTAATGGTCTGCTTATGCTACTTGGAGGTGTTGCAGTAATGTTGTCGATTGACTCTGAACCTAAAATGATGGCACAAACTGAAGGGGAAGAAGCTCACACAGAAAGTTATGAAAGGTATCACCTTCAAATTGTTAAAAATATTTTTAGATTCAATAGAAGGATATGTTCGTTTTTGATAATTTGATCAGTATCGATCAGGGAGAACGACGGTGGTGGTGGTGGTGGTGGTGGTGGTGGTGGTGGTGGTGGTGTATGGTTTAAGGAGATTTTGGGGACAAATTTGTAAGGTTGTAAATCATCATAGACGTCCAGTAGAAGTTTACTTTTGCTAGTGTTTTATTATGCAAAACGCGTTCGTAACTTTATGAATTACCTCTGATGAGTAAGAAGTAGACGTATAAAGTATTATCGACAAAGCTTCACGTAGTCGTAGCTTGGCGAATGGGTTCCCTCCAAAGTTTTCCACAGGCATTGCTACGATGGTAATATGTAGTCTGTTAAATCTAAGTCCTGATATGAATGTCTTGTCATATTCCATAAAGAAACTGCACAGTTCCATTTTAGGAGGGATTCGTAGTCCTTCTAGTTAACTGTCACTGATCCTCATTGGGTATTCCTTATTCATTTGTCTCTTTCTATTTTCCTACTTTCAAGAATCCATCTGGTCTCATCATTTTATCTCGTTTTATCTCGTCTCATCATCTCGTTTTATCCTATTTTTAAATCAATACCGACGAAAGTTTTTAAAAACAGAAAGAATAGCTGAAAGCAGTTAACAGCCGGATGACCGAATCCGTTCTTTTTCACAGGAAAAAGAACTACCTTTATAAGTGATATGACATTCTTTCGATTACTAGGCTTCGATGATATTTACTTGAATTGGAAAGGCTTTCTTTTAACAGCTATGAAAAAAATTCTCCAGATGCTCCAGAAATTTCTTCAGTTCAACGTGAACTTCTCCATAAACAAAAGATTTGAAAAAAAAATATTGATCCACTGTGGATTTTCTTGGTTTTTTTTGAGAAGGACAGGCTATCCCATATTTTTAAAACATCACTAATATAGCGTTATGGTAGGAATTCTTTTACCCAAAGTAAGGAAATATAACTACTCAGGTTTTTGTTGAGCACATGAAAATGACTACCCAGTCTCCTTCGTCTACTGCTTTACACTATCAACGTCTGTCGGTGTTTCCAGCTTTCCAGAAGTGACGGCTATGGAGAGAAAACGAACGTGAGGCGCGGAAAACCTTGCAATTAGTCTGGAATTTTATTCTGTGGCCTCAGTCGGATCATGTTAGAATATTCGGTTAGTGGTTTGTACATGGTACAATGGTGCCAAGGACCTTTGAGAACACTAGGCCCTCAGCAAAATACTCAAAGCTGTAGGACCAATCGATGAGCAACACAAGAAATTCGTTCGAGATCCTTTTAGCTGAGCATGTGTGTTACATTGTAGAATGTTTTTCAGTACTGCGGTAGGTATGGGAAATTAAACAGTTTGGATCGATTATGAAGACATACTTGATTCATTGCCGATTTGGGGTTTTGATGCAAAACAGAGTAGTCCGCTGTGAAAAACAAGAGAAATGGGAAGAACTTTTCAAAGAATCGAGAAACTAAACTAGAAACTATAGTTTCGGAGTGGATTGCTATGAAAGAAGAGAACACCAATGAGGTATTCTGTTTTAACATTGTAAAGAAAAAACAGAAGGAGAATCACAAAGTTTGGGAGCAACAGCTACGAAAAGTTGCAGAAAGGCGTGTAAGCTTACGACTACCGTGAATAGGGATTGTCGACAGCACTAGTCGATAGGTACAAAACTGAGCACATTTGGCAAAGCGGCTGTGGGAAGTTGTTTTATAAGTTGGAAGTTCTAGAGGACCTTAAGAGATTAGGCGTAAATGTTGGGAGCACTGAGTAATCTACACCTAACAAAAGAGAAAAAGTAAAAAATGATGGACGCGAAGAGGTGAAGGCGGAATATCAAGTCGATTGCTCTATACGTTATTTCAGTCTTGGTGTGAATGAATGACGATTGCAAACTCAACTCGTCGTGAGCGAAAAAACAGTACAAACTTTTCTAAAGTCACTGCACTGATTTCGCCAAAAAATAAATATCTCACAATGAAACGCAAACAGGGTATCTTTAACGTGATGCTTTGCATCTGTGCACCTCTACTAGAGAGTTGAGCATTGAATCGACCGAGACTCTTGCTGAGTATCGGCATTTTTAGATTACTAAAAAGAACACTGAATAGAGTAATGCTTAGGAATAGGAAAGGCAGAGGATATGGTTAAGAAACCAGACCACTTAAAGTTCAAGGTCTGGAAATTAGGATTTGTAGGAGAGAAAACTGATCGCGTCTTTTGAAAATAGAAAAAGGAAAACGCTTGTTGGTTTTTCGTAAGGCTCCGTTTAGTTTAATGATAGGGAAAACGATGACAATCTATGTAGATTTCTTGGTTCTAACTGGTTTAAAATATCCGAAGACTGCGAAATATTCCATAGTTATGAATTATGTTCACATTTTATGAGAAACAGTCCAATTTCTGTGAGGAGATGCGCAATCTCTACAAGGTCTTCGTTTCATACTTTTTTTGAGACAATTGGAATTTTTGGTATATAGGAGGGGAAAGTGGTAACCTTATGAAATTATGTTTGCTTATAAAGGGATGCTTTTTTTCCAGGATGCAATCAGGACAACGTGATCCGATCAGCATTATTGATGCTGTTTTTCTCCCTGGAGTTCTTGCGGTGCGCTTTGTCTTTTTGACTTTTTTCGCTTCCTTACTCGAATGAGCCATCTTCATCATCATAAATAATCGTGGTTGTCCAAGTACGATTTTAATTCGCTGGTAGTTGGTTGACTGCACAAGATTTCTTCTCCCTAGAGTCTCTGAAGTCACGCTAGAAGTTTTCCCAACATCACATACCCACTGGTAACTGTTTTGTTTCCAGAATTGCTGTGATTCCTGAATTGGTTTACTTTAGCAGGGATTCTGAACGGTGATTTGGAGCTCATTTTCAAGTGGGGGGATTCTACTGGAGGAACAAATCTCTTCTTCACGTAGTAATTTGATAAATGGTCTATGGATCCTCATCAGTGGAAGAAATTTTCATTTGTCAATTGCCTTCGCCGGTTAATTGTGAAGAACTTAAGTACCCAAAAATTCCAAAATGCGACACACTATTTTTGCAGTTTTTCTCAAAATCCGTGAGGTGTTTTGCTAAGGAGTCGTGTATTTTTCTTAGTTTTTCCATTATAGTACTGCTTATGTAATGTTTGTCTCAAGCTGGTCAACTATGCATTTTTCTTTTGGCTTCCTCTGTATCTCACCGAGACCTACCATTGGAAGGAATATCAAGTTTGTTTTTCTATTTTTTACTTCATTACTTATCGCGACGCTTCATTTGCAGTCCCCATTAAGAGCTTTCGTCTTTTGTTTTCCTAAACCACAGTTATCCCCGATCCTTGCAGATCGGATTGTCGCACTGTGATTAACAGGACGACGGCGATTCCTGAGATTGCTTTACTCTTTATTGGCCTTCCGATTTTTTTTCATTTCCGCTCTTTACATTTATATAAGTTTTATATAAAATAACTTCGAATAAATCCAGTAACGGGGTATGTGGTCTTTATGGTCCTTAAACGTCCGTGTAACTCTCAGTTCATGTCAACTGAAGTCATTGTTTGGTCTGCTTTAGGCTGACGAAATAAGCACTTTTTACGATGTCGGAGGCATAGTAGGCAGTGTAGCCGGAGGATACGTTTCGGTTGGTTTTGAACTAGTATTGTTAGTAGTGTTAATACTAGTGGTAACAGCAGTAACCATTATAATGACTGGTGATAATATTAATGATGAAAATCGTAGCAACCATAACGTTGCTGAGATATTTGCAAAAGTCCAGATCGCAGATGTCCGCGGTGAGGAACGAACGCGCTATTACCTTTTCCGTGGAGGAACACGTTCACCACCACACCATGCCGGTCCTTCGTTTCGCCTTTCTCTCAGCTTGTTCTATCGATCTCTTCCATCATCAATGATCTCTGCCAGCAGGCGAAACGAAGGACCCGCATGGTGTGGTGGTGAACGCGTTACTCCCCGGAAAGGACAATAGCACGTTCTTTCCCCACCGCAGGTGTCTGCGGTCCGAAGTTTTGCAAATATCTCAGCATCATTGAAGTGCTGTAATAATTTGTCGATGGGATTTTATGAAATGAATATAGATTTGAGCCTAATAATTGTGGTAACCCCACACGCGCCCTTTCATAAGTGTTTAAATAAATATATGTGTATATGTACATGTATATAGTACATATATACATCCAATACAATTACAATATGAAGTTAATAATAATAGTAATAATACATAATAACAACAGTAAATAGTTAATAATAATAAGTAGTAATAATTAATAATACTAATAAATATTTGGCAGTAAAAAAAAGCTCAACTGAAAACTTGGGCACTGCGACAAATGTGTCCCAATAGTAACAACAATATTAATAATAGTAGCGATTAATACCGATAATAATGACAATAACAGTAGCAGTAATAGTAATGCCACTATTAGTAAAAATAATGTAGTGAATAGAGCTATTCTTCAACAAGTCTATGGGAATTTTTTATTTTTAGTTTAACTATAGCAAAACAATTTCACTCATGAGATTGAAATTTAAGGATAAAGTCGGATGCCGAACTCCAGTTGTCGTCATAATGCTGATTTCTTCTATTGGGTCTCTATTCTTTTACATTCATGCCGGTGAGTTTTTTTTCTATGTTAATATTCTGAGCATTAAAAAAGAATAAGGTTCTCGGCGTTGACTTACCCTGAGGGAAGCGCCATACATTCGAATTCATTAAGCATCGTTGGACGTAATTGAATGCATATCTGGCTTTTACAATGATTGCGGTGGCCTACCGATGTGTCGAGCCAGTGCTATTATCCTTCTAGGCAAGTGTAGCACCATTTTGCTAACCCCGTGGGGATGGAGAGCTTGGTGGGTCTGGGGCGCGCGTGTCAAACCCGTGTGTATTTCAGAGCCCCTCGAACTACTGCGCTACAATCGTCCCATTCTCAACAATAGGGCTATTAATTCTCATGCTTTTCAAAGTGCTTTGAGTGTTTTGAATATTCCCGCCTTTGTAATTTTTAAAGAAGAAATCGAGATTTTGACAGGTCCTGATATGATATTCTAATAAAACTACGTGAATAAGATATTTTCAAGCAAATTACTATTAAAATACGGAGGATTTCCTCCTAAGCTGTATTTATTTAGACTGAGAATATTGTCAATGCTGTTTGATACTAACCTTGGTGAATCTTTTTTCAGGTTCGTATATGATTTTAAACGCTGTCATTATGATGATAGTTGGCGTTACTATATCTGGTCCATATAATTTGATTGTGAGCACGATATCTATCGATCTTGGATCACAACCGGATCTCGCATCTAACGAACAAGTATCTTTTAAAAAAAGAGTTTCAAAGGGTTTTGAAATTTTACGGTTCAAAAATTACACACTCAAATTTGCACATGGAAGGTAAACAGTATCTTTCTTTCAGAGTGAATTATGTTTTATCTATTGCATGTGAAATGAAATCTCCTTAAAGAAACCTTTTAATATACTTTTGTTCTTTTACCACATGTTCCGCTTTAAAAGATCATAACAACAGCATTTGCCGTTACACTTTAGTTAAAACGATTCATCGAACTATGGTTTAAGAAAACTTTGCTGTTTTACAAATTGCGCTAAATGTTATTCGAGGATGGTTTCAGGCCATGTCTACCGTAACCGGACTTCTGGATGGTACTGGATCCATTGGTAGTGCCGTTGGTCAGTTCTTCATTCCGATAATGCAAAAGACCTATGGATGGTCGTATGTATTCTATCTGTTTATGGTTTTAGTGAGTTTTTATGGTCTTTTTATGAACTTTCAAAAACCGAAAACTGTCGAAAAAGTGCTCTGCATGGCCTAATACCATACTTCTGTTCAACTATTGACAGTGATTGTCTCACAAAGTCAACACAATATTTCATTGAAGAGGCGAACTTTCCAAACTAATGATATTGTTATCACAACTGCGCGTGTCATTATTTGTTTTCGTGCAATATTCCTCCCTATATATCGGATATTTTTATTGTGTTGTTATAATCGTATTCATCGATCCTTTGATTTTGTGGCTTTCATAATTTCTGCACACAACTTCAACTATGGAAAATTTTTTTATATGTTTAGATGTGCAGCTGTTGCTGTAGGAATTATTCAAGCTTCCAAAATGATGCTGAGATATTCGCAAAACTCTGGACCGCAGGTGTCTGCGGTGGGGAACGAACGCGCTATTGTCCTTTCCGGGGAGTAGCGCGTTCACCACCACACCATGCGGGTCCTTCGTTTCGCCTGTCTCTCAGCTAGTTCTATCGATCAGTGTCATCAGCAATCATCCGTCAACTAGTTGAGAGACAGGCGAAACGAAGGACCCGCATGATGTGGTGGGTGGTGAACGCGCTAGCCCTCGAAAAGGGTAACAGCGCGTTCGTTCCCCACCGCAGTCACCTGCACGTTGATTATCGATTAATTAATTGGGTACTCAGCATTAGGATCTCAATTCGTCTCTGTCGTTCTTCAAAGTCGCTCAACTGGCTTCTGTTTTTCAAGGAGCATAAAAAGTACCATGGATTTTAGTTTAGAGCTTGCATTTTTTGGTGCTGCTATTGAGAATGTGACCACGACGGTTAGCTCTCCGTGCTCGTAACGGCATAGATTTACCCTTAGTTGGAAGTTTTAATAGAGTTAGAATTTTTCTTAGCTTTGCTTTGGGAAAACCTTGCTTATAAGATGAAAATTTACTGAACATCGAAGCTCTACACCCACAATCATTCTCCAAGAATGATGAATTTTCGACGAGAGTGCACCATAGTTGCAATTGGGTGAGGTCTGCAACTTTTTTTATTCTACACGAACCGTCTTTTCATCTCCTGAGCGGTTCCTAGAAGTTTTTGCATTCAATTCGCTTCCTCGCTTCATCCACTAGGGTTTTCGAACTCTCGCGTTTAGGTTTGGTTGCTGTTCGAGTAATTTCTTCCCTCTTCGTTGTGAACGTCTTTGAATTCTGGTTGAGTCGATTTTTGCTAGAGTCCTGGGATAGCTGGGCTAGAGCACTTCCGCTTAGATTGAAAGGATCAACCTATTTTCAACGAAGAGACAGGGGACTTGGTGGGCGCAGATTGGTGTCGAACTAGCACCGTGCTCATGATGTGCGGCATCACTACTTCTGAGCTACCCGCTTTCTAAAGGTGTATAATAAATATTACATTTTGTTCTCTGAGAAGTAAAATAAGGTCTTAAAGCTTAAAAACGATTTATTTGCTTTTTTTGTACGCTTTTTTACTGCACATGTAGTGTTCCTTTCTTTTCAGAATATGTTATCAACAGTATGCATCCTAAGGCGATGTGTTGAGGATCTGCGAAAACTTCCCACTTCTTCATCGGAATTAACTCCACTTCTAGACGAAACGAATTTTGAAGATTAAATTGCATTCATTACTTCTACAGTTTCTCCTTGTGCCTTTGCTTTCCTACTATTGGGTCATCCTTACAAGGTTTCTTCTTTGAGTAATTCCTATGCAGACTACACGCTCTGTTCATAATATTGTTTTCTTTTGTAAAATACAACTAGATGCTGAGATGTGAACAAAACCGGGCATCAGTTGAGTTTTGAACTCGAGATTACCATCACGTGGGCTCAGATGCTATCCACCACATCTATCTTGCATCGCCTTTCTCTCAACCAAGAAAAAGAAAAGAACAGGCAGTAAATGATAGTTAAACATTGTTTCCGTTTTTTTTGTTTTACTCTGTCATCTCATAGTATCGGTATTGTTATTGTTATGATAGTTCGAAATCTGTTGAATTCGTAGATGAATGCATGAGGTGACTGAATGGATCAACCACCTGTTGTAGTTCATTTATACGACTGTTCTCTACATATTGGGCTTATTTTTTATTCTACGATTAAATTAATTGCGATTACGATTAATTGCGTAATTTGCCCTTACGGCAGGGACGGTGATTGCATGAGTTCAGGTACGATATACCTGATCTCTTGTAATAATTGCGGAGATGAATATATTGGCGAAACGGGCAGACCTTTGTGTATCCGTATAAAAGAACGCCTAGATGGCAAACGAAAACTAAGACGAAGCACCCCACTAGGAACGCATAGGATACAAAAGCATAGCTGAGACAATTTTGGAATAAAAGTCAATATGCTTGCACAGGAGTCCAAAACACCAGCGCGAAAACTCCTAGAGGCTTTTTGGAAAAATGCTAAAAACCCTACAATGAATAGCAGGTACGAATGCCCGGAGGTCATACGCGACCTGATCCCGTACGTTCGCATCGATTTTTGATGTGGGATGGTGCAGTCATCAACCACATGCGACTATAATCAGCTGTTCTAGACTTCCTCATTGGAAGTCACGAAAAAGCGGTGGGTTTTTTTTTGGAGAAGTTGTTGATCGTGTAATTACCAAAGAGTCTTTCGTCTTTGTGTAAGTGTTATTGAAGCGTTTGGCCTAGTAGATTGTATATCAGCATACCCTTCCAGACTCTGAAGAAGGCGATACTGCCGAAACGTCAGCTAGCGTTGTATTGTATTGTGTTTTTCTATGGAAGTAAATGTATGCTGTTTAAAAACCTCGCGATTGCTGAACAAGAAAACGGACACATTCATATTCCAATGCCGAGGTTAAGAGAAAGTCGATCCTGGGATCTACGATTAAAATAATTCACTTCATATCGTGGGTAAGTCAGGGATGTTATCTTTTTCGATATTCTATAGAAAAGAATATGCATGAATTATTGAGCCTCTTTGTGTTGTGGTCAACATCTACATATTTTGAAAATGCTAAGGCCAACGTTTAGAAACTGACTGCTGAGGCTCGTAAACCTTTACTAGAGCTCATACAGGGACCCATGCCCGTTGTCTCTGGCCCAAGCCTTCTGTTAACTAAGCCATCTATCTCTTAGGATTGTGCAAACTGTTACCACACTAGTCTGAGAGGATTAAGAACACTCTTGATTCACCTTCAGGCAATCGCAATCTATTGTATGGGCTTTGTGTGAATTCAATCAGTTTTACGATGTTAAGTAGAGTAGAAGGCATGGTGTATCCATAATGCACTGATCTACGTCGAAAGCTTTATCCTTTGTCTTTTAATTCGTATATTATTCTTATTTCTCGGCGATCACATGGTTAGCTTATTTTCCACATGAGTAATCAAGAAAGACGTGATTTGATTCTTCAGCTCTTCTTTAAGACAAAAAACTCTTACGTGTATTTCTCTTCATATGTTTTATTCATTCCAGTTCCTCGGATGTTGCTCATATGAAGAAATATCTCGAGTTGAGTGATCCCAAGACCAAGACATGGTGCCTTCTGGCGGACATCGGGTTAAACTCGGTCCGAAAACTCGGATGTAGTTGCTTTGAGAAGCTGGTGGGATGGAATGATGACTTTCTTGTTTCATCTCTGTCAAATTGACGTATACCTTTCCTATGTGTACCGAGAATATGGATGTGTTCGTGGTTGCGCTATTTGAGAATTGGACCCAGTGGTCGATTCATTCTAAAGTTTGTTATCAAGTGAGAGGAGAGGAGAGATACATGGTGGGCGGATTTAATTCATTTCTAACAAAAGACCCACTTTTATTTTGAGATATGCTGACATGATACTCATGAGCAAGCTTAGCCACAAATGCAGAGACTAGCAAGCTATCCAGTGAGGGTAATTAATGTGTCCCGAGCTACCACAGCACGACATATGAGTACAGCGCTCAGAAAATTTGCTAGTATCTTTTCGAACCATTCGATGGCAAACTATAGTACAAATGACACGAATCAAAGGTAACGAAGGTAGCGATACGTTTATTCCTTATAGAGGTCTCTGTGAAAAGAAAAACGCACTATAAACACAAATATTATATTTGATCTAGTTACCCGTATAAATTGTAATGCATATCGTAGAAAAACGTTGTCAAGCTGAAATAAAAGAAAACTGACATGAATGAATATAAACTCTTCTGACTAGTGATTCGGATGCGGCTGTGCTTCATTAGGATGCATGTTGAACGAGATTATGCGTTCGGCTAGTTGTTACAAGCAGAGCTGATCTCTAGTTGAACTTATGAACGAAATCCACTAGAACATCATCTACTGTCTAATCATACCGTTAATGTAGTGATGTTATCATATTTCTCAAGCACAGTCGCTGAACATCATTGTCGCCCACTAACCCAAGAAGACATAAATCGGCACTCAACCACCAGCGTACATGGTTGAGGGCAGTAATGAATATGTATGTACTTCAAGCTAATGCCATAAGTATGGGATGGGTCAAACAGCACATTCTTCTCTATTACATAAACATATGGATCAGAAAAACTACAGCTATAAGCGACGCTTTCTGAGCCGAATCTGTGTCGAGTGCATCCTTTCCCCATGTTTGCTCACAATCGAACGAGCATCGTATTATAGGTATTTCCCACCTGCTTTCATCACAAGTGCATCGCGCTAGATCACCGCAGTAGTCGCTACGAAGGCGAATTAACTGGAATAGTAGTGAAATGCAGGATAAGGATTCTGAAATATCAACAAAACTGGGAGCCTCAGCTGGGCCTCAAGTCCTTGATTACTCTTTTGAGGGGAGCTGTGTCACCTGCTATTCATCAATTCACCACACCAACCGATGCCTTTTATTGTCTTTCTCTTAGCCAAGTTTTTGCTCTCTCAGTGCTATCAACAATTACCTGCTAACGGTAATTATCTGGGAAGTACAAATCGATCTCGAATCTAGTTAAGCTGAAGCTGCAGCCGAAACAAACGGAGAAACTTGCTTTGCCTTTTTTTCGGCCATGTTTTAACTATATCGGTGCTATCAGTGATCACATCTCAACGGTAATAACAGGGTAGGGTTGTAAGGGTAAACACAGGTTCGAAGCCCTACTGAGGTTCCGAGTTTTGCTCACATCTCAGTGTCCTTGTCGTTATATTTCATATAGTGCCCTGTGTGAAAAAAAAATAGGAAATAAATAAAAACTAGCACATCGAAATAGTAGTCATCAGCATCTGTAATCGTAGAAGTCCTATTAAAATTTCTGATAAATCAAAATATCCATAATCTTCCTCATATGGCTAACTTCTAGCTCTTCCCCAAATTAAACTGATCTGCTGCTCTTGAAGAAACCAGACAGTAACGGTTTACCTTCCTAGTTTTTAAAAATTGAATATTTTTAAAGAATAATAGACTCCCGTTGTCTTGTATTGTGAACTAAGTTAAGAAAAAAGGGAACATATGTAACGCGGTGAACGAGAAACTGTTGAGGACGAAGGACAATAAGAATAAATAAACATGAAGAAGAATGAAACAAATCATCCACGGTGGTGATAGAGTTTTACACCTGATTAACTCAGGTTATAAAAAGCATTCTACTCTCTTGAAGCATTCGCTTAATTTAGCCAAGACACTCAGATTAAAAATGCTTTAGAGATATTGTATGAGCTCTTGTCGTTAAGTAACATGAATATATTTGCTTGTGATTTCTTATAAGAATTCTGTGGCACTTGCTACCATATTAGTCTCTTCCATTCTGAAGATAGAAGATAGTAGTTCTGGCCAGTGGGAATCTTTTCATTGAATTACTAGTTGTTTTCCTCTTCATAGTTCCTTTCTTTGAGAATTGTGGAAGAATATGTGAGAATGAGGACATTGAGGCGTTCACGGTTTCTACGTGAATTGCTTGCGCTCCTACGTCTAACGTACCTTTTACTGGAAGTTAGCTCCTCAATTAGTTGAAAGTATTATAAAAAGAAGTAGTCAGTGCTTACCTTTGAGAGCGATTTACGAAAGTCGAAACAGGTTTCTTCGTTACCGAACGCAAAATTTTGAACCGCAGATAAAGCTTCCACTATGAAGTTCTAAACAAAAATCATTCAATACGCCACAATACACATATTCATAAGAATTACAAGATGATGAGCTACTAAAATGACGTAAGGAGAAAGTTGGTACAACCACAATGGTGCTGAGATATTTGCAAAACACCGTACCGCAGGTGTCCGCGGTGGGGAACGAACGCGCTATTACCCTTTGCGGAGGCTAACGCGTTCACCACCACACCACGAGGATCCTTCGTTTCCCCTATTTTTCAGAAATTGGTACAGCACCTGGCCCATATATTTTTTCTTAATACTCGCTTATAGTTAACTGATTCAAACAGTTGATGGACCTCTTCTAGGGCGCCTTCCATTCCCCCGGAGTCGGCAAATTGGTACCAGACTTCTCTGGGGAGATGGCAGCACTGGCTCGTTACATCGACAGGTCACCGCGAGTCATTGTAAAGGCCAGATATGCATTCAATCATCTCCAATGATATTTAATAAAGTCGACACGTTTTTTAGTCCAGTTAATTGGAATTCATAACGTCGAACGTCGGACACAGAGGATTAATCGTGTGCAGAACAGAATCGCTTAAAGAAGAGAAGAAGCTAATTGAGTTCATCAGTGTCATCTGGTTACTTTAGAGTTCAACTGTAATAGCCTTTCTACAAAGTTTATTTGTTCAAGACGTGCAGATGCAATGATGTCTCAGATTTTGCTTTCCTCCTGCACTGCGTTCCTTTTACCTCTTCAGAAACAAATTTATGCGGGATTGAGCTTCGAATAAGCTTTCCTCTACCTTCACAGAAGCTCTTATTCTTCTGAGATTCACTGTTTTGGACTTTAGTTGACGATTTTGGTTTATTTTTAGCGCGAAATGACGAAGTGAGAGTTAAGAAGACGGTGCGACAAAGCCTGAATCGACAGTGTAAATACTGAATGAATACCGTAAAAGGTGAACATCACTAAAGTTTCGTGATTTTTCTTACATAGGAGGACTAGAGGAGCGTGTGGTGCAGTGGTCGGAGGCCCCCTGCGACACACATGTGGAGTCGATCCCTGCGCCCATGGCCCACCATGCCTTCCATCTCTCCGAGGTCAGCAAATTAGTACCAAACTTGTCTGGGAGGATGGCAGCACTGGCTCGATACATTTGTAGGCCACCGCGAGTCATTGTAAAGGTCAGATGTGCATTTAATCACCTCCAAACGATGCTTAATGAAGTCGACTACATGGTGCATTCCTCAGTGATTGATCAACGCCGAGAGCCTTCTCCTTTTTTATAGGAGACTAATGTTTCAGTGTTCGTTTGAGGAAGAAAATTGTCCTTTGCTCATCATATATTGTTATCTGCTCGTGAGAAACCTCATATAATCAGCAAGCTCTAAAACAACATTAAGGTGAGCATTTTTCTCACAAACAGTTTGAAGACCTGATTTGAAGTGTTACGTCCCGACAGAATACCAATTCGTAGTGGCTAGGGAGGTGGGGGGTCCTGATAACTGAAATGAAATTTACAGTTGGGAGATTCATCTCTTCAGGTAGAGTAGAGTAATCCCGACTGAAAATTTTGATTCCATTTCCATCTGGAAATCCAGCAAAGAGTAAACCTACATCCATGGTTGTGCTCGGTGGACTACTGCTGGCTACTGTTTCATCAAAAACGAAAGTTATGATGCTCATTGTGTCTGTTCGTCTAAGCGGAGCTCAATTCTTGCCTTTGCTATGGGACGAAAATGATTGAAGTATAACATAAGTGTAACATAGGTCAATAATAAATACATTCCATGTGCTTAATGCCTTGCGATACACACGTCATAGTTGGTTCAATTCCGCGAATTGGAGTCACAAAAATTACTATCTTTCCGGATCCGAAGCTTATCTGTAGGAACAACAGCATGGAATTGAAGCACTAATAGGCCACCACAACTCACTGTATACGCATTTGCATTCAACTACCTCTAATGGTGCTCAATGAAATCAAATGCATGGAACATCCTTCAGGCATGGATCAACTCCAAGGCTTTTTCCTTTATCCCCTTCATTTGCTTATGCTATTGCCGCTAATTTTTCTTAAACAGCTTTTTTTTATCACTAACAATATACCTGTTCTTGCTGCTGTTCCTCACTACTCATAGCGTTACGACATATTAGCAACGCATCTCTAGAGCATGATTGTTCACATATCTGAAACCATGTTTTCAGTGTTCAGAATTTCTAGCATATTATTAGATATCTAAAATACACAGATATTATATAATACAAATGAAATGACCTAAAATAATGTTTACGTCCTCAGTGGTTCATGCTAAAGATGTATAGATATAATAGTAGTTTAAACCAACGAATTTAGAAGAACTCGATAAAATTTAAAGTCAGCCAGAAATATATATATATATATTCGCGACTATATAAAAACTAGATGTGATCTAGCAGTGACATCGATGGCACTGAATTAATTACTTGCTTGGATACCTGGATGGCCTGTCTTCACTGGTTGTACGCACCCTAGCACTAATTTTTCGGAGTTTTATTGACTTTGCTATTGTGATTCACTGCAGTCCCGAGCTCAGCCTGGCCAAAGTCTGCCAAAGCCAAGTCCTCACAACCATAGATAGTCGCCTCCCTTATGGATCAGAGGGAGATTTGCCACCATGCGACTAGTTTGATACCAGGGCGGTGGTGGATCCTGGCATTGGTTTGTTCTTAGCTGGGCTTCTTGATGGAAACGCCGGACTCCTTTTCAGGTTGGGAAACCCTGCCAAGGGAATGAATCTCACCGCTGCACTTCGCAACCGACACCCAGGAACCCCTCTTAGCCACGATGAGCCGGCAAACCGTTAGGGGAGGGATGGGGAGCAGTTATCACTCTTGAAACGTAATATTTCTCAGAGATTAGAAGTAAATAATAAAATCTTCCTCAAATAATTTTCTGCGAAGTTGTGTTTGAGTCCACACTGTAAAATGCTGCACAAATCATAGAACTTGTAAGTGCATCACCTGTCTACCGTATCCTTTGTAGGCCAAAAAAGTATGAAGAGGTAATTTCTTCCCGAATACCATATGATATTGCACAGAGGCGATCTGAAATAATAGTATCAGCAGCGAAGAAAGAATGACGTTACAAATACTCGTTTAGTTTAAGGATCCTAAAGTATCGGTGAGAAGAGTGGCTGGATAATCCATTAGGAGCGGAGAACTAACTGATGCAGATGTTTGTTCAGAGCAACCGGGATGATGAAAGCATAGCGAAAATCTTCGCACATCATGGCACAACATGATGTACGCTGCGTCTGAAAAAGAAGTCTCAGCTGATTGATAGGTGTTGACTTTTTCAACTAATAATCGTTCTCTTTTTTGAAGTTTCTTTCCTTGAAAAAACTTTCAGTGAAGAAGTTCCATGTTAGTTACAATTCCCTTCCACGATAATAAGATTTAAGGACCACCTTTTGTTTAACGCTGTTGAAGTTGAGGTGCCCATGGTGAACTCCTTCGATGAATAAAGAAGAAATTTAAGAGAACTTTCATTAGGTAGTTACAGTCCTACCAATATATATTATGTAGTTGTTAAGATATTAAAACCCCATAGATATTACACCGTCTTAACATTTGCCATATACATTCGTCGTTTTTGAGATGTCCTTATTACCACTTGTAATCCTCTTACGTAGGTAGTAACTTTGACAGGTACCAGTAAAGTCTTCATTAATCCTTTTTGCGCCTCAGAACCATCTAATAAGAAACATTCACTCACTAGACATAAGGAACTCGTCTTTTGGTACGACGGCGTTTATTTCTATCGCACACGGCGAACAAACTGCTGTGGGTAGTTCGCTTCGCTCAGCTCGATTGTAGTTCAGATTTACCTTTACCTGGATTCCTGGACAGTGTCGAACTCCTTGTTGGCTTGAGCAGCCTTGCTAGGGTTGAACTCATGCTTTATATCACAATTTCCAACTAGCAACGCGAATAGTTATAAAGGTCGAAGCTAGACTTCGTTTTCAAGTGTTGTTGGGGTATCTTTCGATGGATGTTTGACTTTATGACAGTAAAGTGTCGATGTTGTCAGCTCTAAATAATTCGAATGGATGCACTATTGAAAAAGTCTCAATTGCAAATGCAACCATGCAGAAAAATGAGTTTTTCCATTGAGTTGCCGTTGAATTAGCTTCCTTCCTACACCGAACTCTTCGAGAAAATTTATGAACGGTAATAAATCCTGAGTGGCATATTAAACTTCAAGGAATCCAAGATATCCCCGATTACACAAAAGCGTTAGCATTCCTAATTTCATTTCCCAGAGATTCCGAAAGCTACAAACATAACGCTAACGTTTTGGAACTGAACCGACACATTGAATTCCTTACAACCGAATTAGGCTTTGTTCCAGTTGCTAGACTGATATTTGATTTAAGGCAGAACTCCTTTATCTTTCAGTATGAACGTTACGTATTTTATAGAGAGGTGATTGAGAGTTGAATTGGGTTCCCTATGACTATGAAAGCTTTTAGCGTTTGCAGAAAGTCTGGTCAATATGAACTCCGATCATGAAATGTCAACCGCTTTTGGATAAGTATTCACTGAAACGTTACTTAAATGACTGAATGGGTCGTCCTCACGAATCACAAAGAACATTTCGGTTTTCAACAGAAACTTCATTTGAATCACTGATATTTTACTGGTTGGACAAGTTTCTCTTGCCCTTGAGCTACGAAAGCCGTGCTAGATCTCTCCTAAGTTGTCATCAGCTGCCAGTTAACAGCTATGTTGTTGCCAGGATAGTAGTGATGCCTATCACTTGTCTACTCCTAGGTGGGCTTCTCGATGAAAATGTCGAACTTCTCGGTATGGGAAACCCTGGATGGAGATGACTCGATCACAGTTCACCACCCAAAAATATCCTTCATCTACGATGCAACCATAAAACATTCAACGATTATAATAATGAACAGTAAATGTAATAATTAAAGAGTATTGATTAGCATGGTATCTACTCATTGCGGTAAAATCTCCCATGGAAATCAGTGAAATAGCTTAAGGTGATTACGGCTCCGTTTTGAATAGGATCGAATACTTTCTACTAACACTGGTTCATTTTTCTTATTTTTTTTAAAGTGGAAGCTTTTTCGAACATTACCAATTTCAAGACAACGATCTCACTTACCAGTTCTTCTTTTCTCCAACACAGTGATATTACGGAAATGAAAGAGCGGCGGTGGTGCTCTTCGTTCACGAATCGGTGGATGGATTGCAGCCTTAGACCAACAATAGATCAACCAGTTATCGATTAACATAAAGAAAACGTTATGGCTAAAGAATTCTCAGCTATTGATCTACTGATAAAATTTATTAGAACTGATTTGTAAATTAGTGGCGCGTCATGTTAACGATACTGTGACTCATATGTGATTCATTTGTATTTGTGTTCTGATTTACAGACAAGCCAGACAAGCATATTTCCCGTATTTTATATATATATATATATATATATATATATATATATATATAAAATACGGGAAATATGCTTGTCTGGCTTGTCTGTAAATCAGAACACAAATACAAATGAATCAC